TTTCATGCACCTGGCCTCTAGTACTATAATGTCTTCTTAGGGGCAAGGCCTCTATCTCAATTTTTTTAAAGATAGTAAAGGGAGGGGCAGAATTTATCACTTGAGCCTGAAGCTAAAATTGCCTTTAGCTCAAAAATCTGCATACCACTGAGACACATCTGGTTGAGGCTCATTCTGAACCCCCACACTGTTCTATTATGTGTATAAGTGTTGGGAACCATCTTATCTCTTTAGTGAAAGGAACCCTTTGTTATGTTATAATGACTAACTTTTATGCGCTGTGTTTTGGGTTCAAGCCTCTATCCAGTATTCATGCAGCAACTTCAGCTCTTCTGTTTGATAATTACCTGGCATGTCTTTTATTTCCTTTTCTCTAAATCTTTCTAGATTTTTACGTATTAGATAGGAACAGTTCATGACACAGGCAATAGACTGGCCAAGACCTAGAAGGGGCTGGTGCAGGGTGGAGGAGATCAATGGGGAAAAAACAAAACGAAAAAAACACAACTAAAACAAAGGAACATCTGTAATACTTTCACAAAATAAGTAAAGGAAAATATTTTAAATAAAGGAAAATATCTTAGTTGAATAGAGTTTTATGTGAAATAATATAAGTAATTGCTCTACACTGTACTTTACATTCTCAACTCTCTCAAAGAGACATTAAAAAATTGACCCTATGTTCACTTAATATTAATTGACCCTATGTTCACTGACTGCAGGACTGACTTCAGCCACGCCAACCCAGCACTGACTGTCATAACTGTGATCAGACCCTGCTTTTCTCTCCCAGCCTCTGCCCTGGCCTGATCACAGCCCCCTAGGCAGTCAGTGTGGATCAACCCAGCACTGATTGCAGGACTGATTTCCGGTGTTCAGTCGATACAATATCGACTTCAGTCATTTTGGATGTTATAGACCCTGGCTCTTTACATCTATAGATAAATAAGTTTTATACAAATAAATTGATACTATATATCTTAGAGAAAATTTCCTATCAACTTATGTAAATTCACTTCCTTTTTATTGGCTCCGTATTATTCTATTTTATGTATGTATCATGATACAATTAATTAATCCCCTCTTACTAAATATTCAGCATATTTTTTTGTTATAAATAGTACTGTAACAAACGGCCTTGCATATAAAACTTTATGAAGTAAAAAATTATTTTGATTAAAGTAATATAGATTGTGGATAGGTATTTCTGAATTAACCTTAAGAAAGTCTATATCCCAGTCAAGAAAAAGAGATTGTATGTTTCTCCACACCCTCGCTACTTTCTTATTATCCAATTTATATTTGGATGACATCATGAGGTTTAATAAGCATTTATTTACATTTTGGTGAACAGGAGTATCTTTACCAGCATTTAAAGGTTTGTATATCTGAAGCACATTGATTGTGTCTTTAATCTTAGAAACTCTTATGCCTCAGTTTTCTTCTGCTCTAAAGGTCTCCCAAAGTCTGTTTTTTCATGCTTTTGATCTCTAGTTCTCTATTCCTTTCTAAAACACTAGTTTCCACACCCTATTTTATCTTTTAATAATACCAAACTTTCCCTCAACATCTGACTATTCAAAAGATACATTAATATTTTATATAATGTCAGTTTTTCAGTTTTGCTATTAGAAATTATCTAAGACTGATATAAACTCATTTTTTTCCAATACTTAAAATTTAATAAAATGCCAACAGTAAGCATGTCCTATATGCTTCAGTTGATGTACCTGCCTACTCAGAGTAAATAAAAAAATACTTATTATCTGTTCTACTATTTCAGGGGGAAAAAAACCTTTTAAAGTTAAGAAAAGTTCTAACTTTGAGAGACGTAAAGAATATTCATTTAAAAATATGAAATGCTTCCTGAATTTTCTTGTCATCTTACCACAGGGGTCAGATTAATATTCTCCATATTGTTCTAAATTTTTTTTTATTTTTTTTTTAGCAAATGTGCTGCTGAAACAAACATGAACTTCTCTGATCATAAACTTGTCTGTACTGGTATGATTGTTTTTGTATGTGAATACATGTATGTGAGATCCAATTATTTATCTAGTTTTACTGTTACCTTAGTGACTCACCTGTTCTGGAGCTGCACTTCATAAAATACTGAAATAATTTGCATTATAAGTTTTACGTATGCTCCAGGTATTTAGAATGTCTCACCTATCTTTATCTCATCCTCACATAATAAAAACTGAAAATAACCTTTAATTATCATAGGATTTTGACACAATTTTTAACATTCAATGCTACATGTATCTTCAAACATTAGAGCACTTGATATTTGATAGCTGTACTATAAAATTTAGCATCTTAAGTTTTCACCTTATTTTTTAAAATGTACTTTAAAATTATGCATGTTAAACATTGTGCTCATATATTAGCTTTAAACTATAGTTGAAAGGAAATATTTGTTACATTTTGCATGAGTCTCTCTCCTCTCTCCCTCTCTCTCTCTCTCTTTCTCTCTCTCTCGTCCCCCCCCCCCGCCGCCGCCCCCCCTCCCCTCCCGCTTAAGGAAGGCAGGAACAGAAGCAAGAGGAAAAGGTAATTGACCTCTTGACCAAGTAGTTCTGTTTGGTGAAGTTGTACCACATTGCCCTTGTGAGGTTTACAGTAAAAGCAGAGCAGAGGTCTGGAGTAGAGGGACTAACAGTGTTAGGATCAAAGGCCTAATTGTCTGTTTCCCTGAAGTTAGGGTTATTGGCAGCTGCCATTAGACCGTCCATGCTGCTGTCACCCAGCACAGCCAACCAGCATGCACTAATTGCAGTGGCCTTTTCATCAAGTAAGATCATCCCACTAAACACAAAGAGCTGTCTTTCCATTAGCACAGACAGTAGCCAGCTACATCAGCTGGCCTCCTTGAGTATGATTGGACTGTCATATTGTTATGATTTGTTCAAGTTTAGAGCATTTAGCAGATACCCTTTGCACCTCTCTTTGTACCTGAATACTATAACCTGACTGCCCCTATCATTTAAGAGGGTACTATAGCTTTTCAAAGTTCAGCAGCACACAATTGCAGGCAGGCAACTGGTTTCTGACAAGAGATCAATACTGTCCTTCCAAACGCTGGAGTCAAGCTGCTGGGTCTGTCAGAGGGATATGTGCTGTAATTGGATCATGGATGCTGCGAGTCATCCGAGTTTCCCTTCAGCACTGTCACAGCTGTCAGATGTCATCCCTTTGTACAGCTGTCACTGCGGGAGGGTTGGGGCTCTTTTTCTGTTCTAACCCAATGCAAATGTCCACTTAGCAGATGAATATTGAAGATATTAGACACTTCTTTATGCCTTTATGCAAAATAAAGATCTGTGTCATCTGTGAATTTCATGGAAATAAGTTGCAATTTATTCACTGTGAGAAAAGTGAAGTGAAGCCTGTAAAAATGAGAAATTATTTGGTTCAGGCTATTAAAAAAAAAGGAATATTTTACAGGATAAACACCAATATGCAGATATTTCTCTTGAGACGGCAAAGCTAATACTGTGCGGTATTTAGAATGGTCACCTGATATTCAGATGAGATTTTAAGATATATATGTATCTTGGTTTCCATATTCTTGGGAAAAGGACAAATTTTGACTGGATTTACTTCCTTTGATATCATTAAAATTTATTGAAAAATATAAACGCAATACCTATTTTAAATGAGCAATATCATCACATTATTTAGAATCAGGTCAAGGGGTCTCAAGAAAGTTGTTAAGACAAGGAGAACAGTCTCAATAAAAATGAGTATGATATTTTGGTCACAAATCTAGGTTATTACAAAATGGAATAGACATGTGCATAGTTGGCAAAATATATAAAATATGAGTGACTATTAATTTGTCTATTAATTTGAGCCAATTTTGCTTTTGTTTAGATTTAAAGGATCGTTCAAAATAGAAATGCATTTTATTTTATTCAATTATGCTTATAAAACTATATTTTTTAAATTGACTGATTAATTTCTGGAACAGTTCAACACGAGTCATGTATACTTGCAAGATATAGTAAAAGTAAAGATGTGTCACCAGTGTGGCTTTGGCAATTATATCCTTAACTTAGGAACTTTTATAACATCAAGATAGATCCATGACTTTCCCTAGACAATCTCAAAATAAAGTGCAATCTTAAATTTTTTGTTGTTGTTGTTACCATTTTCTTCCTGTCTCCTTAAGTTGATGTGAGAATCATTTTGGGGAGGCCGACAGGGCAATTTTGATTTGGGTGGCTGACTTCCTTTTTCTTGAGGCCCAGACCACACACCAACTTTTCCGTCAAAAAGGCAGCTTGCACCAGCCCCAGTGACAGGGTAGCATGAACCTTATTTTCCAATATCTAACCTTATTGTCCTGTCATCCGCCAGGGGACTCGCCGGGTCAGAGCCTCAAATACCCAAACTTTTTGCCTCCAACTGGCATTATGAGGTGACCTCACCTCATTTGTGGTGGCTCATGGTTTTTGGAGCCTAAAATGAGTGACTGCCAAAATAAAACCATAGACATTTGGTCCACATTGTGGGGTAGAGCGGTGGGGAGGGAGGGAACCAACAAGTAAACCCACCCAATGTTGTTATTGAAAAGATGAAGTGTTTGAAATTATTATAATAATATATGCTAACCCGGATAAGAAGTATTATATTTCCTATCGCTTCAGTTAGCCATTCTTTTTCTCAGTGTGATTTTTACATTTATAAGAAACTGGATTAAAAATCGTATGAAAATTAAAATGCTTGACTCTCATGAAACAAATTAGTTAGCAATCAAATCTTAGTTGAATGTAACTGGTATAATAAAATAGTCTTTAACAGTTACTTAGGCAGAAAATATAGGAATGAATGAAGTGACGTTCTTAAGTGAAGTTCCTAAGGTTATTCTTCTGTGATAACTGTGAACTTTACATGCAACTCCAGTGACTCAGGTAGGCACTCTTCCTTTTTTTAAAAAAAAAAACAAAAAAAACCAAACATGGTTTATGGCTAATTACATCAGAGATCCAAAACAGTCTTTCTTACATTTGCATTAATAAGGGTGTCACATGACCACAGTGAAGTAGAAGTATACATCAAAGGTAGATTAAAGGTTAGTTAAGCATCACACCATGTTCCATATGTAAATTTATAGCAATGATGTGCCGTAGGAAGATAGCTTACCCTCTATTTCTCTGCTACTAAATAAAATTAAAAATTCACAACTCTGGGTTATGGGACTTTAAATGAATTTGATCTCTCTTTTGGGCAGGGCAAATAAGTGTTTTGTGATGTATTATTTTATAAAAAAGAAAAAAAAAAAGACCATCGTTCTGGCTCATTTAATTTTGCGAGTGAATGATCTAAGATTAACTACAGACTAGTCAGTGCAGTTTTAAAGCTGAAAGCAATTTTCAGCCATAGATGGTAATGCCACATTCAGTCCACAACCGAATGACTCTAAATGACTAAGCTTCGAGGTCTTTGTATATGACCATAGGGCCTGATAAAGCCATAGGAACACAGTAAAAGCACAAAAATAGTTCCAATTTATTTGGTGCCATCACCTTAATGAGATTAATACAGACGTGTTCATGTGCCTAATTGGTGATTTTGTTTTAACTAGTAATGAAGGATTAAAACTTCAGGCAACAGGCTGCTTGCTGGAAAGAGGATGGGAGGGGGGCGAGTTTTTAATTATAAAAGAAAGCCAGTGAAATACACCACTGCAAAGTTAATAGTAACTCTTTTCTTTTTTCTTTTCTCTCTTAAATGTGTGCCCTGGATTGTTCTGGCCATTTTGTGAGACAGGGTGATTTTATGAGACATACCACATACAGTTTTTATTTACCAATAGACCCTTTGGCGTACAAACACATATAGAACTGTTACTCCTGGTGAAAAAGTGTTAAAACTCAAAAGCTTTGGCCCTCAGGCCACTGTTGGATGTAGAGTAGGTTGGATTTTTTCTAAGTTATTTTTTTCTTAACAGGTTACTACAGCTGGGTGACCTGTGGCTACTAGCTGTCCCAAAACCCTCAACATCCCAGTCAACCCGAGCCTCTTCGCAGAAACATCACCTGTGACTTGAATGAGGTCCCTCCCCTCAGCCTCTCTTGGTAACTGTTGAAAGGCTAACACTATTAAGCATGCTGCCAAAACACAAACGCTCAGCCTGTCGTTAAGATGTAATTATAAGGGGCAGCTGAGCCCTGTCTGAGTTCTGAATCTGAGGAAAAAAAATCTTGTTTTTAAAAACGAAATCAGAACTACCAATCCACACCTATCACATCTGCCTGCACCAGCCCAGGGAACTATGCGGGACCAACACCGCAGGCTTTATCAGACTTCAGCATGCTCGCAGCCCTCACAGGAGAGCATGTTTTGATTATTACTCATCTGGCATAACCGTAAAACGGATCATTGTTTTATGTGGCCGTTGGTGGTAGGGAGTTGTATAACCTGTGCGGTGCGTATCTGTGCCAGCATATGGAAATTTTGTCTTCCAGAACAAATAGTGAATTAAAGGAACTGGATTGCCCTACACTGCCAACTGAATAAAACAATATTATCTAGTTTATGATTCCCGGCCCCCCCTGAAACTTTGCCCAGTGCTAACATGTCTTTTTGATTAGGAAAAACAACAATAACAAAAACCGCAGAAAGCCCCGAAATGCAAGAATTTAGTCTTTGCCATTCTAGCAGGAACCCTTTTAAAAGGATCTTGTAGGGATGGATACTCTGCAGTGTGAGATGCTACCTTCCCGGAGAATGAAGACAGAAATATATTTTACATTTCTTGTCAGATTGAACTTTAAGACATCCTGACTGCTTTCTCTGTAATTTAAACATCACAGCCCAAATGGCAACATGCTTTGTTCAGTTCCAGTTGTGTGGAGTTTTAGTGCTTCATTGACTCGGGGGAAGGCTGGGGCCGCGCGGCGCTCTCACTGCAGCATGTCAAGCCATTATGCGCGGGACCGGAATGTCACCGTGGTCTCAGTGGTTCGCCAGCTGAAGGATATGGTTAACAAATGTAAAACCAAACTTCAGAGGAGCCGGCTTTCCGTGCTAAGTGATCTGTATTCCCTCTGAATTTACTTTCCCCTAACCCCGTGAAATTAACAGTACTTTCTGACATTCGACCCCCTGACCTCGCACATAATAAGAATTTGAAAAGCACCATGCATGAGTGTGCCTCCGTAATGCAAAACTGGGGAAAAATGACCATGTCACCGTTTTATTATACAAAAACCTTCCCCGTCTCCGTGGCATGCTTCATATGTGAGCGCCCGGCTTAAAGTTTATTATAAAAGAAAAAAAAACAAAAAACAAAAAACCACACAATTTTTTTTAAAGAGGCATCGCTCACTGCCCGTGACTTTTATAGACAATAAATTGTAGCAACGACAGAAGGCTACCCGAAGAGCTTTGTAGTCCATTAATGCAGATATTTACCGAGATAAGTGTTAAAAATAAGGCTCCCAGGCTGGGGCCTCGGGGAGCCGGTTGCCAAGGGGGCGAGCGCACTCCCTGCACAACGTGGTGCAGGTCTCCGGGTGGAAGAGGCAGGAGCGGGAGAGTGTTCTGCGGAAACGATTTTGTGTTATCAGGCTCGGGGGATGACAGCATACAAGAGTAAGAACAAGGTGCTAGGTGGCTTTTTCTCGGCGGTGAAGCCGAGATTGGCAGCTGGAAGTAAGGCTTGCAGACAGACCCGCACACAGGACCTCTTCACCCGGGACTCATAATCACTACTCAGAGGGAAACGCATTTACCAGGGGGAGAGCGGCTGCAGCCATCAGGAGTGTGCTTAAAACACCACTTAAATATCACTTTATACGCGATTACTTGCAAACGGGGGCTTCATATTAAATTATACTTGCATAGGCTTTTTTTTTTTTTTTTTTTTTTTTTTTTTGCTTAGGTGCCGGTAATGCTTCTGAGGTTGCACCGGTGAGGGAGAGTTTAGGCTGCTTTGCGAGGGAACGTGACCGGAATATTCCACGCAGGCTGACAGTGACAGGGTGAAAAATTGCAGAACTGTACTTTCTTTCCCCATATAGATTGTAATTTTAATTGTCATTGTGGCCCTTCTGTTTTAATTATGAGACTTCTTTGATATATACCAGGACATCGTATTGAATGAAAATATGGTGCTATAATAGTCTCTTTATAATTAATGACCACATGTAGATCTTGGTGCATAAAAGGGAAGGAATAAATGAACAATTTATTTAACTAGGTTTTGAATTTCGTTCTGTCTTCCAGTGAATATAAAACGATCCCAGGGCTTCTGAGAATGTCTGATGTGAGAAACTACACAGAATATCTAATAAAATTACTTTGGGCTAGATTACAAAACATATTGTGCTTTAAAATCTTCTGCTCTCCAATGGTAAAGCTTATCTATTTACCTTGTCATTCTTTTAACATTTTATCTCAAACAAAGAATCTTTTAAATTTCTTTGCAGGCCTATTTTAAATGTGTCTTCTTAAACAGGTTTTATTTGTGAAGTAGCTAATTTTTACAGGTAAAATGAGCTTTCAAGAAAGAGATTTTAAAGCTTCGTTTATCAAACTGTAAAAAAAATAAAAAAAATCTCAGAACTTTTGCTTTCAAAATACACTAGATCTGTGCTGCATTTTTCCCTCTGCAGGAAGAATAAAATTTTCTCAGGGACTACTACCACACAGAAGCTGCTTTTCTACAAGTCACAAATAAGTCGTCTATTCAGAGGCAATTTAAAGCTCCTGAAAACTGTGAAGAGGAAACAGAAAATAACAAAAGCTTCACATTGTTCTCCAACTATTGCATAACAAGATTGCCAAATAGAACACGGGGACATAAATATTCCGGGCTCATAGACATTTCAAGAGAGCCAGACCTCTATGGATTTCTGGAAAGCAGACCTATTTGTCCAGGGTCTGTCACTGTAAAAGAGGAAAATGCCCCCTGACAAGCTTCTGCTAATTTTATTGTGGCGCGGAGTCCTGTGCATACATCCTCTACAGGAGGACTGCAGTGCAATCGCAGAGCACAGTGAAATTGGATCGGCAGAGACAGGGACTACCCTGGGGTCAGCTGTGACCATGCCACTTCCATGTGATGTCTAGTTGGGGTGATGGTGTGTAAATAAACGCAGAGAATTGCAAATCTTGTCATGGCCGCGCAGAACAGCTCAAGCATTTAAAGATGGTTGCCCGCAAACCTGACTGGAAGGTGGTTGCTCAGTGTGAAGGCTGAGGGAATACTCACTTCCTTGCCCCAATCTTCTTCTTGACATATCTGAAAGTACTTGACCCCGCATTGTGTGGCTGAGGGGGTTCGCCACTAAATTGTTTTTTCATCACAGTGAAAAATAAAGAAACAAACTAATCATGTTTGAGTATTGTGCTCTTAAAGCTATAGTGCTGATTCCAAAGACACCTTTTATTTGTATGATCCTGCTCTGATTTATTTTATTTCTTTTAATGAGGTGAAGCATCTTAATGTCCTACTGTTTACTGAATTTGGCATATTAAAGTTCTACGAGTTCTTGTCGTTGTTATGAACTTTCCAATGTTAGAAATAAAATATTATAGAATTCACATTTTCTGCTTATGAATCTAATTTTATTTAAATACTACTTAGAGTACTCATTAAAATATACTTAGGTTTTCCTACCTTCAATCAATAAGATGTATTTTTTTTTTTTTTACCAGTTTTGCATTTATACATATCTGTTTTTCGGTTACTTTTCCCACATGACAATTACCTTTCATTACAAATTTATAAAATCATTTACATTTTAGCAGTTTAAATGTTTCTGCTGACATTTTGTAACTATTACCCTCTTCTAGAATGGCATATGTTCAGGCAGTTAATAAAAAATTAAATGGAATAGCACTAGACACGGTGAAGCTTTGTATCAGAGTGTTCCCCACATTTCTGAAAATACCATCCTTGTGTTGCAAACTGTGAAGTGAGGTTAGGGCTGTGACAATATGTGTATTTGTCACAACTGTCACAGAGACTGTGAACTAGCCAATCACACAGCCCTTAATT